AAGTCGTCGAAGAACGAACACAGTCGAAGAACGAACACAGTTGACAGCTGTAGGTCGCGTGCAACAACAGACACGAGGAGCATGGCTGCTCTCCAAATGGGTCCCTTCTTTTGTATTAACCCCCTAAGGATTGCTAATCCCCCTTTCTAACTCTTCCCCCAAAAATAATATATCGCCCCTTTTAAAATGTATTGAGCCACAAATTAATGAATATTCATGAACACAGAAACTGCTATGTCATGAATAAATTAGCATAATTTTAAAAAATTTGCGTAAAGTGTAGGTACTCCTTCTGGAGCTCTGCCATTCTAACATAACAGTGAGAGGAGTAGGCCAAAAACCACCAAAAATGCAGTAATTTCGCATAATCAATTATAGTCTATAACTATTTATTGAAATGGTTAAAACGATCCGGGTAAAAAACTTTAAATACATCAAAAAAATGAGAATTCCAGTATCAAGTTGGGAATGAGGCTGGTGGGTCAATTGAGGTCATAGAATGGTAATAGCGTGTATGCTAGTTTTTCTTTCAATTTGAAATTGCGCCCTCGTGCGGAGATAAAGTGTATATTGGATGGTACAAAACGCATTGAACTCTGGGATATCACATTTGCCGTGCAATGGTTATTAATGTAACACCTGATCCCCTCTAAAATGTTTGTTTCGCATTTTAAGGTAAGAAATCGACATTTGAAACTGACAGGGTGTCGATTTACTAGGTGCCGTGTTTCACAACTTGTTTATTTATATACGTATAGCGGATGATTTTTTTTTTGAAAATTAGTATTTATTGATTTTCAGCCCCCAAGTGACTGTGGTATGTATGTGCACAGTCAGTGAAGAATTCTGCAACCTTCACTCCACACTAACTGTGGCCCGATTCTACACTTACACTAATATGTTCGAATTATATCATGTCTTACTAGGTCCATAATAGGAGGTTATTTACCTCCTGAAATAAGTGTGTTTGATTTATCTTGCATTACAACGTAAACATAGTAAATTAAAAGTCACACTCACCAGCACTGCAGATGTAGTGGCGCTGTCAACATCCGCCATCTTGGATTTGAATACCCAACTTGAAGTGAGCCCTCTATCAGGCACTATACCTCAAAAAGGAAACTAGAGTAAAACTTTTCGATATCACGTGATTGTATGCAAATTAGTAAACTTATCTATTGGACGCGAACGACAGCAATGGCTACGAGGCTGCCACTTTTATTTTTCGTCGTTCTGAAAATTTCAGTTTCAGGTACGTTTATTTTAACTTGATGGCACTCAGGACCGAGTTGTGCGTATATGTTGTGCCATGTATTAGTGTTAAACGGCCCGTTAGGTCTGTAAACTGCGAAGAGCCGTGTACTTAATTTGAGTTCAAGGAAACTTAGCCCTGAGTACAGTCCTGTAGGTTGGCCTCCTTCCCCTGATCATTCGGCCCCCACAGTCCTGGGAAGTCGCATAGACCGGGGTTTCGACACCCGCCTACAAATTTATGG